TTTATAAACCATCCCAGATGGTTATCTGTGTTTAAAGAAGGACATTCTCAAATTTCACCAAGTGACATGTTCTGGTGATTCCAACCCTGGAGTTCACAGTTTTCTGTCTGGTATATGGTCTAGGCTACAGGCCGGTGCTGTGCATATGACAAAGGAATCACCAAAGGAAAATGTAAAAAAGCTAAGAGCTATAGTCAACAATACTATGTTATAAATCTCAAAATTGCTAAGAGACTAGATGTTAAATGTTCTCATCACAAAAAAGAAATGATAGTTATGTGACAGAGGTGCTAGCTAACATTATGGTGGTAATCGTATCACAATGTATATAAATGTATCAAATCAACACCTTAAACTTCCACAATGTTACATGTCAATTGTATCTCAATAAAAAATTAATGGGTGGATGAATGGAAGGAAGGAAAGAAGGAAGGAAGGAGGGGGAGGGGGAGGAGGGAAAGAGTTAGTTAAGGGCTTGGGGCCTAGCATGATGCAGGTATATTTTTAAGTATGACTCCTGCCTATGGTAACAGCAGGATGGAGAGTTTGCCTTTTGGTCCCTGTAGTTGGCAGCCTTTGTTGTCAGTCACTGTCGAGGCATTGCCTGGTATTGGTTCACTGGGACAGCATCTCAGAATGACCTGATGTAGAAAGAACTTGGGTTTGGGGACCCTCTGGCCTATAAGCTCCTTGTCTCTGCCACTTGCCAGCTGTTGTGGCCCTGGGCAATTCATTTAACTACTTTTTTTTGTTTTTTAAATATTTTATTGAGGAATTGGGGAAGGGGAACAGTGTTGGGGAGTTGGGGAAGGAGAACAGCTAAGTTGTTGTCCTTCAATCTTAGTTGTGGAGGGCGCAGCTAGCTCAGCTCCAAGTTCAGTCACCATCCGGCCGCCTGGCCGCAGCTCACAGCTGCTCAGCTCAAGGTGCCATATTCAATCTTAGCTGCAGGTAGGCATAGCCCACCATCCCAAGCGGGAGTGGAACCGGCAACCTTGTTATTAGGAGCACATGCTCTCACCAGCTGAACCATCCTGCCACCTGTTGGCAGCTCAGCTCAGGTGCAGCTCACTGGCCCATGTGGGAATCGAACCGGCAACCCTGTTGCTCAGAGCTTGCGCTGTTAACCAACTGAGCCACTCTGCTGGCCCTTAACTACTTTTTAAAAAGTAACATTTACTGGGGTGGCCAGGTGGCTCAGTTGGTTAAAGTGCATGCTCTTAACAAGGCTGCCGGTTTGCCTAGATTGAAAACGGCGACTGGACTTGGAGCTGGACTGCGCCCTCCACAACTAAGACCGAAGGACAACAACTTCACTTGGAGCTGATGGGTCCTGGAAAAAACACACTGTCCGCCCCCCCCCCCAAAAAAAGTAACATTTACTTTTCTAATTATAGAAAAGCACAAGGAAACACAATGGGTCACACTTTTACCATCTTCACATAAAAAAAAAACCAAAAAAACCTATGTGCAGCTAGGAAATTTTAAAATGACAGAAAGGAAGAAAAGTCCCACCCAGTCCCTTTTTCCACAGATATCCACTCCTAGGTTTTCTGTGGATATGTTCAGAAAAAAACATATCTTACACTTGCCTACTTAGCTACTGGGAGGAATATAATTAAAGCTATAAATAAGGATATATATGTGTGTGTGTGTATACACACACACACACACACACACACACACATAGTGTTCACACACACGCTCTATTATGCAAAAGGGGTCATAATCATACTGTGCAGACTATTCTTTTCCTTTTCTTCATTTAATTATATTTGCAAATTGGCACATCGAGAGCTACCTCATTCTTTTTAAAGGCTTCTTAGTATTCCATTGTATGGATTCTTTCAGCATGTTTTTATTGAGTGCCAGCCAATAAACAGTGCCCGACACTTCTAGGAGCTTGAGACACCGCAGTGTGCAAAACAGACCAAACCCTTGCTCTCATGGAACTGAGATTCTAGTAGGAAAATTGGCCATGGATATATAACATTAAGTTGGGTAGTTACAAATGCAGTGCAGAAAAGTGCAGCAGTATAAGGGTGCAAGTGAAGGGCAGCGCCACTTGCAATAGAGTCATCAGGGAGCCTTTCAGAGGTGAGATTCAAGCAAAGGCCTGAATGAAGTCAGAGAATGAGCCGAGCTCTGATTGGAGGAAGAGTGTTCCCAGCAGAGGGAACTGCAAGGCCAAGTGCCTGGAGGTAGGAACCTGCCTGGGATATTATAGGAAAAGCTGAGTAAGCAAGGGAAGGAGCTGGAGGAGGCCAGACCGTGCAGGGCATTGTAAGAACTTTGGATTTTACTGTAAGTGCAACAGAACTGTTAAGAGGGTTTTGAACAGAGGAGAGACATGGTCTGACTTCAGTTCTAACAAAATCACCTTGACATCCAGGCTGCTGTGTGGATGCACCGAAAGCAGCCCACTGCCCCTCACTTTTTTTTTTTTTTTTAAGATTTGTATTGGGGAATTGGGGGAAGGGGAACAGACAAGTTGCTGTCCTTTTGTTCTTCAGTCTCGTTGTGGAGGACGTTGTTTCACTGGCCCAAGTTGGCACCATCATTGCGCTCTTCTCCAGCGAGGCAGATCAGTCACCGGCTTCTGGATGGCCGCTCACGCTGGCTGCTGGCCACACACTGCAGCCCATGGCAACCCACCGCAGCAGGGGCTGCAGCCTATGCAGTTGCCGGTGACTCACGGCAGCCCAGCTTCGGTCAAGCTGTTGTTCAGCATCTTAGCTGTAGAGGGCAGTGTCACTGGCCCTCATATGTGGGATCCAAACCAGGGCCCTCTGGCGTCCCAAGCCAGCTCTTAACCAACACGCCACTCAGCCAGCCTGCCCCTCACTTTTTAATCTCTACTACCGACATTGCTAAAGAGCTTCCCATGTATACCGTGTTTCCCCGAAAATAAGACCGGGTCTTATATTAATTTTTGCTCCAACAATCTACATTTATTCATTCATGTACAATAATCTACATTGATTCAAACAGTCATGCCCCAGGGCCAGCCGAGTGGCTTAGTTGGTTAAGAGCTCGCCGAAGAGTTGGAGCTCTGAGCAACAGTGGTTCAATTCCCAGCCCGAGCTGAGCAGCTGCTGAGCTGCCAACAGGTGGCAGGATGGCTCAGCTTAAAAAAAAAATCATGTCTGGCTGACGATCTTAACTGGGGCTTATGTTCGGGGTAGGGTCTCTATTACGAGCATCCTGAAAAATCATGCTAGGCCTTATTTTACAGTGAGGTCTTATTTTCAGGGAAACACGGTATCTCAGTGTATTTGAGGGGCATAGCTGTTGTGCGATATCTTGGCAGTGCCATCGTTGACTATCTGCCTTTTTCAAATATTCTCCCCCAAAAGCTTGATCTTTAGTTTCCTGGTAAATTAAAGGTTTCAATAATAATGCCCACTTCAGAGTCCTTTGGGATCATCAAGTAAAATGTCGGGTTTGGACTAGATACGCGTGTAAACAAAGGAGCTGTATGTGTGATAGTTATGAGTTAATTGGGTTGGCTAGGAAGCAGCCTCCTTGAAGGGCCTTTATGGCCAAGGTTTCCTGGGGTCTTGCCTTTTTTATTTCCCTGTGGCTTCCTTTTTCCATCTGATTTTGGAGATAAAAGATTTCCTCCCTTTGTTTACATGGTGTATTTTACAGGGGAAAACAGCCTTTAGGATTGTTTTTCTGGAGTGAAATGGGGGTGGAGACTTGGGTTGAGGGTATTACTTCAGGGCCCTCCCTGGATATGTGGTGGATGTCTTCTTCTTTAATTAGTCATCTTCTGGAAGACTAAGAAGTGGAAAACTTGAAAGCGGTTGCCAAGTTGTGACTCTCGGCAGTAGCCTGCAGGTTAGACATTGAGAAGCCCAGATTGCTGGCAACAGGAATTGGAGCTGCAGGCAGAACAAAGCAGTCCCCACAGGGGTGTGTTCCAGGGCTCTGAGGGGAAGGTTTGATGGCCCACTTGGAAGTGTAAGAGGCCAAATTGTTTAGTCCATCTGGATGTACCTCCTGAAAGCTGATTTTCTAGGGCAGCGCTGTCCAATAGAACTTTCTATGTAGATGGAAATGGTCTATATAATCTGCACTGTCCAGTACTGTGGCCACTGGTCCCATGTGGCTATGGAGCACTTGAAATCACTAGGGCAACAAAGGAACCAAATTAATTAATTAATTTTAAAAGATTTTTATTGGGGAATTGGGGAGGGGAACAGTGTTGGGGAGTTGGGGAAGGGGAACATTGTGTTTTTCCAGGACCCACCAGCTCCAAGTCAAGTTGTTGTCCTTCAATCTTAGTTATGGAGGGCGCAAACTCAGTTCTAAGTCCAGTCGCCGTTTTCAATCTAGTTGCGGGGGAGAGGGGCATAGTCCACTATTCCGTGTGGGTGTCGAACTGGCAACCTTGTTAAGAGCACGTGCTCTCACCAGCTCAGCAGCAGCTCAGCTCGGGTGCAGCTCACTGGCCCATGTGGGAATCGAACCAATGACCCTGTTGCTCAAAGCTCACGCTGTTAGCTAACTGAGCCACTTGGCCGGCCCAAGAACCAAATTTAGAATTTTATTTAATTTTAATACATTTAAGAAACTACACATAGTTAGTGGTTATGTATTGCACAGTGCAGTTGTGGACTGCTGCACCTATGCCCAGCCTGACACTGAGTGTCCCTCACTTTGCTCCAGGAATCTGTGGCCTTATTCTTTCCTCAGATTAGTTAGTCCCATCCTCAAGTCCACAGAGTCTTTTCTTCTGGTGGCAGGTGTGTGTGAGTGTGTGTGTGTGTGTGAAAACACTTGTGTTGTACGAAGAACAAAGTGGGCTGTCTTATTCTCCATTTGTCTCAGATGAGCCTTTCTTCCCCAGCCAGAATGAGATCGTCACAGAGCTAGCTGAGTCTTTGCGTATTCTTTTTCTCATCTATGTCGTATAGATTGTGTCCATTAAATACTTAACTGCCAACTGATTAATTGATTTGCCCTTTTTAACTGATGTCTCCCCTGTTTCCCAGGTGCCTTGAAGAAGAGTCTCACAGCCGAGCAGGTCCAGGCTGATTTCATAACTTTGGGTAGGTCATCACCAAGGTTGCTCAGGGTGACAGGCCTTGTGGCTCTTTATTATATTAATACCTCCCTGTGTTTTCTTATAGGTCTTAGTGAAGAGAAAGCCACTTACTTTTCTGAAAAGGTATCATAATTCCTCTTAACCAAGGTTAATTAAGATCGCTTGCTTTTATTTCATGAAAAGAAACAAATGGAATTTGCTGATTAAGGAAAAACCATCAATCGTTATTTGTCACTTCCGCAGCTTAATGTTTTTTCATTTGGTTTCATGCAAATGACATATATCCAGCTTTTAAGCAGCACTATTTAGTGCATCTCTAATTTTGGTGCATTTTTTTAGTGCATCCCTCTGACTGAATATAAATGCCATACAGTTGTTCCAACCTGGATTAAATCTTGGAATGAAAGAAAATATTTATATTGTTTTCTGCCCCTCTATCTGCCTCCATCCCCCAGATGTGTGCATACAGGCCCAGCCCTTGGTTTTGCATTCTTCCTACTGTCTGTATAAATAATTAAACATGGCCGTGTTGGGGGCGGAAGGAAGAGGGGGGATTCTTCCCATAGTTACGACTTTGGCTTTTTTGCTTTTGTTCCAGTGGAAGCAGAATGCCCCTACCCTCGCTCGATGGGCCATAGGTCAGACGCTGATGATTAATCAGCTCATAGATATGGAGTGGAAATTTGGAGGTAACTAGAGCCAGCCTCGGGTCCTTTGGGTGTTGTGGTGTTGGGTTGTAGAGGCTTTTAGATAACTTCAATGGGGAAGAGGTGTCCTCCGTCCTCAGTAACTATTGGGGCCAGCAGCTGCTTCTCTGTGTTGCCATCCGCGTTCAGCAGCTGTTTCTATCTACGGTTCTCGCGATAAGTTGACTCCCAGAAAAGCACGTTTTGCTGTCCTCATTCTCACCCCTACATGGCTTCTGCTGTACAACCTGCACAGTTGGGGTCTTCAGCGTGGGTCCTCAACCAGCCACTTACTCGTTTTCTTCTTTGTGTCATAGTGACATCGGGGAGCAGTGAACTGGAAAAAGTGGGAAGTATTTTTTTACAAGTAAGTCTTCTCCTGATCCTTGAAACTGGGTAGATTTTGGTAAACATTATGAAATCTATTATACATTGGGTTTCTTTAAATATCCATTTTAATGGATGCTTCACTGAATATAGCCCAGAGCACTGTGGTCAGCCAAAGACGGGGGTCACTAACATGCTTACTTTCAGAGCAACAGGATCCGGGTATACCTAAAAGTTTGATTGTCCTGTAATCATGGGAATTGATAGAAGTTTTGGTGGTGGACAGTCCAGACTGCTCCTATATAACTCTCAAGTTAGAAACTGGATGCTTTGATGTTTAAGCAAAAGTTCAGGTTTCAAGAATTTCTTTGCCCAGTTGTCATCATTTTAATGTAAATTTTTTATTTCCTTTTTAAAAATCAGTTAAAGTTGGTGGTTAAGAAAGGAAATCAAACTGAAAATTTGTATATAGGTGAGTCCAAATTCCCATTTGAAACTTTTCACTTTTTCTATGTTCTCTTCACTCAGTGGGCCCACGTAGCCCACCACAAATCATTTCTTGCAGCAAAAATGTCATTACTGAGCTGGGTTATAACCACTGCCTTTCCTCTCATAAAAGATGGTCCAAGGATCATTAGTAAGCCTTCGGCAGGTTGAAGACCCCACAGTTGAAGAGCCTTTTTGAAAAAGGGAAAATGGGGGTGGGGGTCCGGCAAAGATTGAAGAGCAAGAAGCTCTTGCTGTAGATGTCACATTGAACATCCTGAATAACGCCCTTTCATCTCTCTGCTGTGGAGTTAGCCCTTTTTAACACCCCCCCCCCACTTTTGTTTATATGGAGCCATGTTCAAGGTTCTCAGTTTTGTTTTGTTTGTTTGTTTTTGTGATCAATTACCATCAAGAGCTGCTTGGATGTTCTAAGCCAAGAAAGAAAAAAATATATCTGGTGGAAATTAATTTTCTTGGATGATTCTGTGGAGTTGGAAACATTTACCTGAGGCTGAATTTTCTCTCCCCAGAATTAACCTTGCCTCAGTTCTACAGTTTCCTGCACGAGATGGAGCGAGTCAGAGCCAGCATGGAGTGTTTGAGCTGATGCCTGTTCCCCTGCACCTCCCCGCCTTCCCCCCTTCCCTGCCTCCTGCTCTTCATTGGGCTGCTGTTCTGAGGGGCACCTCACTCACAAGTCAGTGGGGCACCTATTTGGTCCTGCTGGCCTCTTGGGAGCCCAGGTGCAAAGGTTTCTGAAAAACAACAGGATTAAGTATTTAAAGCGCCCTACACGATTACCTGTAAACTCTTTGTTAAGGGAACCTTCACCACCTATCTCCCAGGACACTTGTTAGATATTCAAACAGACTATTGCCCCTCAGATTCAGGGAGGAAATAAACTGAGTCACACACCTCCCCCTCCCCCCCATCAAAGTTCCAGATCACCCTCCCCCACAAAAAGCTAGGGCTTGTTTTTGGCTGGGGAAGAGGTGGACCCTATGATTGACGCACGTGGGGAGTCCCCAGTAAGATTTCTATACTCTGTGGTTGTGGCGGTGGTGCATTGCTAATCAGTTCTTAATGGGGCATCTATGTATAAATACATGCTTGGTCTACTCTGAAAAGAACTAGGCTAAACTCTTGTCTTTATTTCCGGTGTTGCCCTGTTGCGTTGTAATGAGGCGGGCCTTTGAGGCTGTTTTAGCTTGTTTTGATTCAAGCTGACCGCCTCTGTTGGTTAAATGATGAATAAAAAACGGTTCTGTAGAAAAGGTCTGCATCCAGTTGTCTTTATATATGGGTGAAAGAGTCGTCTGCCTTACAGAGAGCTAAGTGCTCTGATCTTCAAAAATTACCGTCCTGGTATTGGTGAAGGCTCTTAGGGTCTTCAGTGAAATTAGCTGTGGTCGGAAGTTGGAATTTGTGAGTCATTCAAGGGAAACTCAAGTTAAAGACTTGAAAAACAGGGCCGGCCGAGTGGCTCGTTGGTTAAGAGCTGGCTTGGGATGCCAGCTCTGAGCAGCAGGGCCCTGGTTCTGATCCCATATGAGGGCCAGTGAAACTGTACCCTCTACAGCTAAGATGGTGAACAACAGCTCGACCTGGAGCTGGTCTGTCGTGAGTCGCCGGCGACAGCATAGCAGGCTGCCATAAGCTACGGTGAGTGGCTGGCAGCCAGCGTGAGCGGCCGTCCAGAGGCCGGCGAGATATCTGCCTCACCTGGGAAGAGCACAATGATCACAATACCAACATGGGCCAGTGAAGCGACTTCCTCCACAACTAGACTGAAGAACAAAAGGACAGCAACTTGTCTGCTCCCCTTCTCCCGATTCTCCAGCGCTGTTCCCCCTCCCCCCAATTCCCCAATAAAACCTTTAAAAAAAAAAAGACTTGAAAAGCAGAGCATCTTAGTCCTTTGTGCTCAGATGACCTTAGCCCCCACTTCTACCTCTTCCCGCTGTCTCAGAAAGTTTTAAAATGTTTAAATAGATAATACATACCAGTGATTCAAAAGACACAGTGTTAAATAATTCTTTCTCACCACCATTTCTGTTACCTAGTTTTCCTCCCCAGAGGCAACCACTGTTCTTAGTTTATTCTGTGTTCTTCTGGAGGTATTTCATGCATTTGCAAATACATAATGCGTAGAATTTGACTTTGCTCTCCACTCAAATGGTAGTGTTACTGTACACACAGCGTCCTGCACGTTGCTTTTCCTGTTTAACTTGGAAATCATTCCACATCAGAACAGAGAGAGCAGCCTCATTCTTTGTAACAAATGTACCATGTTTCTTCAAATGGATGATTTATTTAACTGGTTTCCTATTGATAGGTATTTTAAGTTATCATTCTTCTTCTCTTAAAAGCAATGCTGCAACTGAATTTTTTTTTACTATATATATATATAAAATATATATATATATATATATATAGTAAATATATATATGTAGTTTTGTGAATGTGTGTGTGTGTGTGTGTATAGGGTTGTCGGAAAAGTCATGACGTATTTTTCTATGTTTTTCATTGCAAAAATGCATCATGACTTTTCCAACAACCCAATATAACATACATATATATATATTTTTTTTTTAATTGGGGAATTGGGGAAGGGTAACAGCCAAGTTGTTGTCCTTCAGTCTTAGTTGTAGAGGGCGCAGCTAGCTCAGCTCCAAATCCAGTCGCCATCCGGCCTCCTGTTGGCAGCTCACGGCCACTCAGCTCAAGGTGCCTTGTTCAATCTTAGTTGCAGGTGGGCGTAGCCATCAGCGGCAGCTCAGCTTGGGCACAGCCCACTGGCCCATGTGGGAATCGAACCGGAGACGCTGTTGCTCAGAGCTCGCGCTCTTAACCAACTGAGCCACTCAGCTGGCCCTGAATATTTTTCTATGTATGTCATTTTGCATGCATGGAAGTACATTTATAAGATAAATATATGGATATGGAATTGCTGGGTCAAAGTATATGTACCTTTATCAAAGAATATTAAAAGAGATAAAGCAAAGAGATCCCCCTGCCCTGTTTCCCATTTACTCAGTTTCCCTACTGCCCTCCTCCAACAGGTGAGTCCTGCTATTAGTCTCTTAGATACCTTTCCAGGGGTTTTTCCCTTCACATTTAAGCAATAGAAATTAAAATTTGTACTCTTTATAGTTGTTGTTTACGCAGATGATTATACATGCTACACGTAACATATCTTGGAGATCTTTCCATATCAGTACATAGCGTCTGCATCCCTTTCTGTGGCTGCAGCATATTCGGATATGTGGATGTGTCATAACCAGCATTTGCAATTTTGATAAATA